CTATATAATAATTATATATATATATATATATATATATATATATATATATNTAAAAGGTTATGAANCACACTAAATAGAAAACTTTCTATAGATGTTACATATTCTCAAGAACCAAGAGATATCCGAGAGTCCCAATCTTTTTGGATTTTTATTTTCTTTAAGAAACTTATCAATATCAATTTCAATCCCACATAATATGAGATTTTATTATGGGGGTGATTTTGAATAATCATCATATACAACATGAAATTCACTTGATTTTAATGAATTTCAATGAATTTTACAGGGAGAAGTTAATCTCAAGTTAACGATGAAGCAGTTATCCTTCCAAACAAAAAAATAACACAGAATATGATAGCAAGGAAATAGGATAGCAGTGTGAATGAAACTCACGGTTCACAGGACGTGGTATTTATAATGACAATGAAATTTGTAGCTCCACTTTCAATGGCAACCATGCTCTGATACTATATCAAGTTTAATCTACCACTAAATATATAAAGGTACAATAAGTTGCTATTCTTTGATTTCTAGAGATTTAACCAACTAAACAATAAAAAGCATACAACCTTTAAAATACAAACTCAAACTTGATAACTCTCGATAGTTTTGAATTTCATAAACAGGTAGCTCCTAACAGTTTTGAACTTCAAAAATTGATACCTCCTAGCAGTTTTGAGTTTCAAAACTTAGTAACTCTTAAAAGTTATTTATCTGAAAAACCTGTTTTCCAAAACTCATTTCTCTCTCTCCCCCTAATTAAACACCTAGAACCCATCTTTTCTAACCCCCTCTCTCTCTACCCTCCTCGCTCCACCTTCGAAACCCTACCACACATACATGGCGTCTCTTCATAACGCCTTTGCATCAGTGTCAGTTCTACGTCTATAAGCTGGTTAGTTCCAATATTAAAAAACAAATGATAATATTAAGGAAAAACTTTATATAATTTGACATCTTAAAATGTAAAATTAAGGTGCACATGTAAAATCCTTCGAAAAAAGTTGTTTTGATGTTGGAAACACATCCAATTGATCATCTAGACATTGACATGTATAGATATGGATTTCAAGTATTAAAAATTGTCATTTTGCTATCTGAACCATATATTTTTAAGATTTTCATGCGTTTAAAGATTTTTTTGATTTGAACCATTTTTGGAGTTTACATTTTTATAATTAGATATAAAAATAGATTCTCGCATTATCCTAAAAACAATTTACACCAAATTTGCATCTCATGACAAAGTTTGGCGGCGCATCTTAATTGTGGATTGTTTAAGGTTGCAACCTCGTCCAAACCACACCCTAATATTAATGATAAGCTGTTTAGTTCCTACTCTAGGGTTCTATATGCTAAATTCATTTTTGACCAGGTTTTTAACTTCAATATTTATTTAGGAAACTCCGTTATCAAATCCTATTGTGAATCTTCTCAGTCAAGGAAACCATCTTGGAGAGAGTATTTATAAAGCAATGAATTTTGCTCCTTATGGTAATTATTGAAAAATTTTGAGAGGATTCATGCATCTTATTCATTTAGTCCAAAGAGGATTAGTTTTTCAGGAGGACATGAAAAGAGAGAATGGTTTGGGGTTGTGGTGAAGAGAGTGGAAGTTGTTGTGGTGAGAAGATTTTGCATTTGGATCTCTTGAATCATGTGATTAGAGTGGGTTTTAGGAGAGGTTTTGATGTTGATGGAAGAGATG